TGCTGCTGCTGCTGCTGCTTCTGCTCGTATTAGTGCTACTGCAATCACTACTACCACTACGATTACCACCATTACCGCTACCACTGCCACTAGCACTAGCACCAGGACTAGCACTACCACCACCACGACCACCATTACGAACGCCACCGCTGCTACCACTACCACTACCAATACTCCGTTTTTTTTCGTATTGTCCTATTGCTTTACATATGCGCCAGGTCCCAAGTCTCTGGTCGTGTCCAAGGTCTGGATGCCTGCGAAGGCCAACATAGCAAGGCGGCCGTTCTGCACTTCCTGGCCCAGTGAAAGGACGCGTAAGTCTACATCAGTGATGAAAAGAGACACGATGCGAGCAACACTACAGGTCATGTTTCCCTGGACGGTCCTTGTACTGCTTCTCTGCCAACTCTTCGACGGTCATGTCCCAGCTCATCTGATGGGCGATCGGAGGGGAGTGTGGGAGAGTCGGAGAGAGGACGGGTGAGGAAAAGCAAGAGCGAGCCAGTGGAGGTGCGGCAGAACTGATGAACCGGCGGATGCCTTCCAGCCGTTCGTCATCGGGCCGGCACCGAGACCCAGGTCACCGGCGATAGCATCCTCCGCAGTCTTTGAGTTCTCCAAGTCATCGAAAGCTTCATTCCCCTCCAAGGCTTATTGGAGCTGCTGCACTCGGCAAGTCCTGGTTGATGAAGAGACGATATCCACGGAACGCCTGCGGTCACGAAGCACCAAACAACGGAAGTTTGGCTATGGGTCGAGTCACAATCGGAGCCCACCTCCAGGAGGGCCATCATCTGAACTAGCTCCCATGTGGAAGCAGAGAAGGCCTGTTCTGACGGCATGACTCCTGGCACTCGCGCTGTGCGGTCACGTAGCATTGCAGTTCGAGGTCTGACGCACTTCACAAGGGCCTGGGAAGGATGAGTCGACGATGACCTGCACCACGCCACCGAAATGGTGCGTTCGCAGCGGACCCGATGCTTCTCAGCCATGCCATGCACAAAACAGCACTTTGCTGATCCTGTCGTGCAACATCGCCATGTGCTTTGGTTCGGGGCCTTGAAGACGGCGAGCATAGACACGCGTCCATGCATCAGCTCGGCCTCTGAAGCAAAGCCGATCTTGACGAACACATGGACTTCTGCGAATTGAGCCAGGCGCCTCCCGATACCATCGCATCGCGTCAAACTCAACCCCGAAGTTCTCGAGCACCTCCAGAGTTCACGAATCCACTGACCCAGCCTAGCATAGCCCCAAAAGACAACACCACCCTCAGAGCTGGGGCGGTGCTTCCCAAAGCCAACAACTTGAGTAGCCCACAAAGCCTGGAGCCTGAACCGTAACCTAAACAACGCAGGAACCGGGATGGGAAGAAAGCCGGAGGCCATGGGCCATGGGCTTATGCCGAGTCTGAAAGTTCTCCTCAGCAGTAGGCCACAAAGCAGATTTACTGAGCCCCTCGAACTCAGTGTGGGATTTTTAAGAGGCCTCGTTAATGTACTCGTCCGCACCAAACCTGATAAAGGTGGCACAGACGGCACACGCTTGGCAGGTCCAACTGCTGTGGAGTCTGTAAGGCTGTTGCCCGAGCGGGTCAAACCCCAAATCGCCGACCAAGCTTGGATTTGTGGGGTTGTTCCTTGCGAGGCTTCCCTACTGAGCTGCACCTCTCTTGCCACCGCAAAGATCTAGACATCGGGACAC